ATCCACATATAGACATGGCTGGACAGCTAATAAGATGTTCTACCCCATGTTTTCTTCAATCCTGCCACACTTCAGTGTGAGACTAGGTCCAAAGACTCTGTGACTGAGAGATTTTTGTTTTTTTTGCACAATTCTGAGGCATAGAGAATCCTCACTCATTGCCAGACTCTTTATTGTCTGTCCTCTTCTTAACCTATAAACACACAAGTTTTCTTTTAGCCCTCAGCTTTTCAGAGTGGGCCCTGCAATTCCTTCTTTCCTGGCTTGGCTGCCTTTGTTGCAAAGGCACTTCATTTATTGGTACTAAGAGAACATGGGTCATAATTTTTTTTTTCTGCACTTACAGTTGTGCTAACTTCATATTCCTTAAATTCTTCTATATGTTTTTGCATAAGAGAATATTGGTTAAACTTAGTGTACCAAGGAATCTCATGTTCTTGTCAGTTGTTGCCACAGGACATGAATATTTCATTCAAGTCACAATTTAATTTAGATAAAATATATTCAAAATGACTTGGAGGTTTTTAAAATGTGGATGAGGCTGTTTCAAAAGAGATGTTGGTGGGTTAGATGAATGAAGTGGCACTCTTCAAAAGCAATTATTTAATCAATTAATAAACCGGTTGCCGTGGAGTCCATTCCAACTCATAGCAACCCTATAGAACAGAGTAGAACTGCCCCATAGGGTTTCCAAGGCTATAATCTTTATGGAAGCAGACTGCTAAATCTTTCTCCCATGGAGTGGCTGGTGGGCTTGAACCACCAACCTTTTGGTTAGCAGCCAAGCACTTAACCACTTTGCCACCACGGCTCCAGTCAATACTTAGTTTAAAAATGACAATCCATTGATGTTTATCTCACCCAAATAAGAATGCTCCTAATGATTCTACAAGTTTTACCTCAAGCAATAATGTTCAGGTTGAACACTTTTGTAAATCACACTTATTGTTCATTTAAGAACTGTATAAATACCTACTACAAAGCAGAAATTCTGCAAGATGCTGGTGATATCTAAGTGAGTAAGAGAGATATGAGTTATGGAAGTTAGGAGCTTGCATTAGCAATTTTGTGTCAATAATTAACCATGGCTGGTGGCATGTGAGACACAAAAATCATAAGAGAAAGGTATGTACAATTCTAGTGCTTATAAATCTAGGCTAATGTGGATTAAATAAGCAGAAAATTTTAATATTAGAAAAGTTTTTAAAAGATTAATAATGTAAGAATTGAATTAGAAGTATCATTATAAACCCATAACTCATGTTGCTAAAAGAGTCTTACATCAATGTTATTGGACCCAATGCCATATATGATATATATAGGTAGAGTCCAGATTTGAGTCTTTAATACTACTCTCTGTTAAGATGAATCATTGCTTCTTGGAGTGTAGCTGATTCCATGTCAGGCCAGGAATAACCAAAATGGGTATGAACTATTTTGTGATTCTAGGAAGCAAGGAATAGTTAAAAAATGGCTAGGTGGTCATATGCTTTCAGACAAGGTGAAGTAATAGGAACCATGTTATGGACTTTTGTGTCCCCCCCACAATATGCGCTGAAATCTTAATTCCTGTACCTGCAAATACAACCCTGTATGAAGGTTTTTCTTTCCATGGATGTGTGAATGAGGTCATATCAGTGTAGAGTGGATCCTAAACCTAATCACTTCTGAGTTATAAAGGGAGCAGAATAGACACGGAGACACACGGGGAAGATGTTATATGAAGACAGATATACACAGCAAATGCATTAATAAGCTCAGGAACTCCAAGAATTGCCAGCTACTAAAAGCTGAAATAGACAAAGAAGGACTTCCTGCTAGAGTCACAACTTGAATTTGTACTTTTATGCTTTCTAAGGCTACTACTTGTGGTATTTCTGTTATGGCAGCACTAGGTAACTAAGACAGACTGGATATACTCTACCACCACTAACAACCAAAAATATCAGGCTAATATATGAAATAAGGTTTTTCAAGACTTTTGATATAAGGCAAGGCTCCTGGGTGGTGCATACAGTTTGTGCTTGACTACTAACCTAAAAGCTGGTGGTTCAAACCCACCTAGTGATACCATGGAAGAAAGACCTGACAATCTGCTTCTGTTAAGATTACAGCCAATAAAACCCTATGGAGCAGTTCTACTCTGTAACACGTGGGGTCACCACAACTCAGAATTTACTCTATAGCAGTGAGTAATATCAGGCAACAAAGGACAGTGATCCCTCAAAGATAGGAAATAAATGAAGTAAGTCCTACAATAGCTCCAACTTACTGTCTTGAGAGAATTTCCAGGCCATGGCACAGGGAGAAGGAAGCCCAGAAGAGCCTGGAGTACTCCTTGAGTTAAGGAGATGGAGTTAGGAGCCAAAGGAGACCAAGGAGGCTAGACTTCTCAGGACACTGTACCTTAACAGTTAAAGATGTATACTATACACCCTAAAGAAATCACTAAAACAACAAAACAAAGAGTTGTAGCTACAACAAAGGAGATAAAGTTGATTAATAAAAGACATACAGTTAATCCAAAAGAAGGGGGGAAAAAAAGAAAAGGGGAACAAAGAACAGATGAAATGAATAGCAAATAGAAAGATGACATATTTAAACTTAATCATATCCATGATCACATTAAATGTTAATAGTCTAAACACTCCAACATAGAAGGCAAAAATTATCAGATTGGATACAAAAGCAAGGGCAAGCTCTACACTACCTAAAAGAAATGCATTTTAAATATAAAGGCATAAATAGTTTAAAAGTAAAAAGATGGAAAAAATATGTCATATTCAAACTAGTTCAAAAAAAGTTCACATAGCTATTTTAATATCAGACAAAATAGATTTCAAAGCAAACTATATTACCAAGGACAAAGAAGGCAATTTCATAATGATAAAGAGGTTAATTTCTCAAGAGGATGTAACAATACTGAATGTTTATACACCTAATGACAGAGCTTCAAAGTTTATAAAGCAAAAACTGACAGAATTAAAAGGAGAAATATATAAATCCACAATCATAGTCAGCAGTACTCCTCTCAATAATTGACAAAACAAGTGGAGCAAAAGTCAACAAGAATATAGAAAATTTGAAAAACAATATCAAGTAACTTGAGCTAGTTAACATTTATCAAATGCTCCATCCAACAAGAACAAATACACATTCTTTTCAAGTGCACATGAAAACTTTACCAAGATAGATCAGATTCTGGGCCTTCAGACAAGACTCTATGAATTTTAGAAAGACTCAATTCATAAAAGTTTGTCCCCTAACCACAATGAAATTAAATTAGAAATCAATAACAGAAAAGTCCCTGGAAAATTAATAAATATTCAGAAACTACATATCATAAATCTAAATAACACATGGGTCAAAGAAGAAATCAAAAGGAAAATTAGAAAAAAATTTTACTGAATGAAAAATGAAAGCAGAACATCAGAATTTGTGGGGTTCCACTAAAGCAGCAGTTAGGAGGAAATCTATTATGTTAAATGCCTATTAGAAAAGAAAGAAGGTGTCAAATCATTGACCTCAGAATCCACTTTTAAAAGTTAGAAAAAGATAAATAAATTAAATCCAAAAATTAACAGAAGAAAGGAAATAACAATGATCAAAGAGAAAATTAGTGAAATAGAAAACAGAAAAACAGAAGAGAAATTCAATGACTCCAAAAGCTGGTTGTTTGGTAACATTAAGAAAATCACTAATTTTCCAGCCAGGCTGATCAGGAAAAAAAAGTTACAAGACAGAAATTACCAATATTAAGAATGAAAGAAGTGACATCTCTAAACATTATACAGATGTTAAAAGGATAATAAAGGAATATTACTAACAACTTTATGACAATAAATTCAACAACTTAGGTGAAATGGATAAATTATTTGAAAGACACTAACTACCAAAGCTCACTCAATAAGAGATAACCCGAATAGCCCTGTATTTGTTTTTTAATAAAAATGAATTTGTAGTTAAAAACCTTTCCACTGAAGAAAACTTCAGGCACAGATGACTTCACTGCTTAATTCTTTAAAACATCTAAAAGAAGAAATAATGCCAGTTCTACACACTCTGCCAAAAAAGTTAAAGATGAAGGAATACTTCTCAATCTACTCTATATGGTTGGCATCACCATGATACCAAAAGTAAGGAAAAATATTACAAGAAAATCACAGCTCAACATCTCTTATGAACATAAATGAAAAAATTCTAAACACAGTTTTAGCAAATCGATTGTGACAATATGTAAAAAGAATAAAACGTTATGACCAAGTGAGACGTATTTCAGTAATACAAGGTCGGTCTAAAATTCAAGAACAAAACAATGTAATTTGCTATATTACAATATTAAAAACAAAACTATATGATTATCCCAATAGACACAGAAAAAGCATTTGACAAAATCCAACATGCATTCCTGCTAAAAACCCTTGGAAAAATAGCAATAGAAGGGAATTCCCTCAACCTGATAAGGGACATCTACAAAAAAACTACTGTTTAACATTATACTTAGTGGTAAAAGAATTTATGCTCTCTAACATAAGGAACAAGGTAAGGATGTTCATTCTTACCACCTCTATTAAATATTTTATTAGAGATTACAGACAGTGCAATAAGAGAAGAAAAAAGAAATAATAATAATTATTAACAACAGATGGGGAAACTAAAGTACAGAAATTTGCTTTTGATGGCATTTGGTACAGCACGTAAATCAGAAGTCTGGATTTGAATCTGGGAATGCCTAGCCCCAAAGCCAGTGCTTTTAAACTAGCTCACAGTGAGCACTCTAGATCCTAAGTAGAAAACTGTTCTAAACCTCAGCTGTAGCACACTTAGTGTATTGAGACAAAAGGGGTAATGAGCCTCCCTGCACCTCATCCACATAGAATGGCCCAGCTTTTGTTTGCTTGGTGCCCACTGTGGGTTTCAAAGGAGTCTCTCAGCTAACCTCTGTGGATTCCGTTTCTCCTTGGTAGGTGAAAACTAGTAACCAGGAGAGGAGAAAGGAGATGGACACCACGACAAAGCTGAGCTCCACAGCAGGGGAGAGTAAATACTCCCAAGACATGCAATTGGATGAGAAGCTCATTCCCAGGAAAGGTAAACTTGACCTTGACTTCTTGGATTTAGGACTTTAAGGAGGATTCTTTATGTGCAATGTTTTACTACAAAGAAGTGAATTTATGTCTTTTAAATTGTTTAATATTTTTTAAAAAATAAAGTAACATTAATGTATATTTTGCAAATAGATAAAGGAAACTAATACCACTATTCTTAAAAAAATCTTTTATTTTTGATAATTACCTTCTAATCTTTGTCCACATACATTTACATTTTTGATAATTGCTACCAAAATGTCTACATGTAGTATGGTGTATTCTGCTTGTTATTGCATATAATATTGTAAACATAATTCTATTGTTTAATTAACTAATGTAAGAAAAACTATTTATAGAAACTGTGAAAATCAAGAAATAAATTTTCCATTATTCACCAGCTTATTCAGCTACTATAATTTGTTTTATTGATTTCCTTTCATTTTCCTATGCATATTTTACATAGTTCTATACCACCTATGAGAAGTCTGGTGGAGTAGTGGTTAAAAATTCAGCTGCTAACCAAAAGGCTGACAGTTCAAATCTACCAGGAACTTCTTGGAAACCCTATGGGACAGTTCTACTCTGACCTATATGGTCGCTGTGAGTTGGAATTGACTCAATGGCAGTGAGTTTCTTTATACTTGTCTATATTGTGTTATATACTTTTTTAATTTGGCCACACATGCTTTTCCATATTGCTCTATAACACAATTACTATTCTTAAAGGATACACATTATCACGTGAATATATCTAACAGATAAAGTATTTTACCTGAAAAATCTCTCTGTGGTTAGATATTTATGTTGTGGAGTTTTGTTTTGTTACTTGCTTATTATAAATAAAATAAGATAAATGAACATCCTTCAACATAATACTTGCCCACATTTGGCATTATTTCCTTAGCTTTTATTCCCAAGAAGTTAAACTTCTAAGGTGAAAGGTATGGTGTAAAGATTTAATTTCTATAGGCTGTTATAGAGATCTTAGTTTTTAACTTGAACAAAAGTGGAGCCACATGGAGGATTTTGAGTGAATGAGGGGTGATCTGATTTATGGTATGGTGAGAGCACTCTAGTTGCTGTACTGAGAATAGACTGGAAGCAGGAAATTAAGGTGAAGGCTACTTCAAAACTCCAGACAAGATAGTAATATGTTGGTAGCTAGAACTACATGGAATACATGGAAAGGGCCCTAAACCAAATAATAGCAGTAGCCCTGATAAGTGGTTTGAATGTGAAGATAACAGTATTTTTCATATAGACTGGGTGGAGGGTCTGAAAGAAAACAAGAATAATTCCAAAGTGTCTGGAGGGATAGGATTTCTATCAACTGAGTTGGGAAAGACTCTGGGTGGAGCAAGTTTGGTGAGAGCTCAGGAGTTTAATTTTAGACCTATGATTTTGATTAGTTGATCAGTTAATCAGTTGATTTTTAGTGGAACAAAAAAAATAATCCATAGCTTCCTAACTGCATTTTCCTCCATCATTTTGTTCTCATTTCAGCAACCAAAAAGATCCTTTCAAAATGGAAGTCACATCATGTCCCTTCTCTGTTCAAATCCCTCAGATGGCCCCCATCCCACTCAAAGTCAAAGTCTAAGACAAAGTCCATACAGTGGCCTTAAATGTTCCAGTTCCATTATCTCTCTTACTTCCTATATGTTCTTTGACCTTTGGATCACTTTGCTCTGTCATATTCACCTCTTTTTGGTTCTTGAACAAATCAGCCCTCTCCCATCCAGCCTCAGGGCTTTCCCATAGGCTCTTCCCTCTACTGAGTGTGCTTTTTCCTCAGGTAGCTAGCTGTCTGGTGCTGGCACCTCATTAAGATTTTGTCTTTCCTGCTTTGTTTTCTCCATGCTATCTACCACCATTTAATATATTATGTGATTTGCTCTTTTGTTTTTCGTATTGTGTGCTCCCCTCCAGAATGTGAGCTCCACTAAAGCAGGGCTAGTTATCTGCTTCGTTTCCTGTTATACTCTAAGATCCTGACATTGGGAGTGTCCAATAAGTACTTGTTAAGTGACTGATGAAGGTAGAAAAGCTGGACTGGAGGACATGGCTTAGAAGAGTGGTCAGCTCAGCTCCCTGATGTTTCCCCTGAATTGGACGGACTTATCTATCAAGGCAATGAGCCCTGGTGGTGCACTGGTTAAGTGCTCTGCTGCTAACCAAAAGGTTAGCGGCTTGAATCCCTTAGCAGCTTCCATCAGCAGCTCCGAGGGAGAAAAGACCTAACAATCTGCTTTCCTAAAGATTTCAGTCTAGGAAACCCTATGGGGTAGTTCTACTCTGTCAGATAGGGTCCTTATGAGTCAGAATCAACTTCATGGCAAAAGACCACCATCATCTATTCAGGCACAGGCTGAGCTGCACAAACCCAGGCTTCCCTGTTGGGCAGAGCCTAGCTCTGCTAAATTAGGTGCATGGTGGGAGAGTACACTGGAGAAGGAGCTGAGCTACACATACTAAATTTATTTACCCAGGTTTATTTATCTAATAAGTCCCTTCTCTTGCCATTGGGAAAAAAGTGAAGGGGATGGAGAGAGAGAGTCCTGAAGAGCTACCCTGGCTGAAGTCCTGAAAAGAAATTTGAGACCAGGTAAATATGGTTTTGTGATGCGCACTTCTTATTTGCTCTTCAGCCAGGGTGTCTTCTGCTCACCAGAGAACCAATCTATGGAGTTTTTGTATGGTTTGATCTAGTTTGCAAAGTATATAAACAATTTACCTCAAATTTCAGTTCCTGAACAATTCTGCTCTTTAATTTCAATCACGAAAGCTAATTTCCCCATGTGTTACGTTCTTTAGACAATACAGCCAGGATCTGGAAAAGGGAGAATGAGATTTCTACTTTTAAAGCCATCTTTCCTAGGAGTACAAATATAGATTATTTGAATACTGTGCTTGTTTCTCTTTCCATTAGTCTATATTTTTTCATAGTTTTGGGCTGTCAATTTTGCTAACAAGAAAAATATTTCTAGGAGTTTAATCAAAACTTAAATGAAAGCTTGTTCTCAATGTCTGAAGGCATGAGTGAAATAATCATCTATACCAATGAACAACTTTCCCAAAGTTCAAATTATATCTATACATTATATATAAAACATATTATAATATATTAATATTTCTCTTGGCCTTGAATAAAAGGTTTCTCTCTTTAACTAGTTGATTTCCATCAAATGAATTAATATATGTAAATTGTATTATATGTAATGTATTATATATTATAATGTTATATATTATATATAAAATAAGTATACATATACACATACACATATATACACACACATATAGGTGGGCACATATATGTACACATACACAAAACACACACATATTTTTAAAATATAGAAGCATATATATAAGGAGCTCTGGTGGTGCAATGGTTAAGTCCTCGGCTGCTAACAAAAAGGTTGGTGGTTTGAACTTACCCAGCAACTCCATGGGAGAAAGACCTGATGATCAGCTCCCATAAAGATTATAGCCTAGGAAAACTTATGGGGCCATTCTGCTCTGTCACATGGGCTTGCTAAAAGATACAACAGTAACAACAAAGCATATACATCTACTTATGTGTACATATATATTTTTAATATAATATATGTACCTTATATATATTTGTGTATATATGTATGTATATCTACATATATACATATACACAACACACACACACTTATTTATTTATTTATGAGTAATTTCATCATCTGTGGAACACAATGGCCTGGAAATGGTAGAGACACAATTACAGGAAGGACAGAACACCCCATAGCAAGTCAGGGTCCATAGAGCTGTGGTGTAAAAGACCCTTGGAGTCAGTCAGTGATCTCATCCTTTGTATCTTCTTTTCTAAAGTCAATAAAAGTGCCATTTAAATCATCAGGTGATGGTCTGCAGTATCTTTCCATATCATTACTTACAAAAAACAAGTGCTGGATTAATAAGGAAAGCACTGATGTAACTAATGTTGTAATATTTCCAGTTCAAAGCCTATGTTCTGTTCGCTATGGAATGGCCTTCATTGTACATCTCTGCAACATCATACTGATGGGACAAAATGTTATCATGAACATCACCATGGTAGCCATGGTCAACAGCACAGACCATCAGTCTCAAGGCAATGTCTCCACTGAGGGGTTGCCTGTGAACTCATTTGGTGGCCCAAATGAAGCTGCAAATAGTCTTCCTGCAGGGGTAAGCAATGCCAGATTCAACTTATGCTCTTGTTGTTGGTGTTTGTTTGCTTGTATGTTTATTTTCCAAAGTTTATATGTTAAAAAGTTTTCATTGAGAAAATATTCATTTTAAAGCAAGTGATAGATCTAAAGAGGCTTCTTAAGGTATATAAGAAACTTGCTGTAAGTGGCTTACTACAGCCTTCTCTGTTTCTTCAAGGTCCCTGTGTATAATTGGAGCCCTGAAATCCAGGGTATCATCTTCGGTTCTATCAACTATGGCATGATACTGACTCTGGCTCCTAGTGGATACCTGGCTGGAAGAGTAGGAACAAAGCGAGTGGTTGGTGTTGCTTTGTTTGTATCTTCACTTCTCATTCTTTGTACCCCTCTGGCAGCTGATCTTGGACTAGTTGTTCTCATGGTATCTCGAATAGTCCACGGCATAAGCCAGGTACCTAGATATTTTATAAATCTGAGCTGGATATAAACTTCTTCGTGGTATCACAGACCAAGACTCTAATTATTTTTGTTTTAGGGATCAGGATTTGGGGGTCAGTATGCACTTTGGGAGAAATGGTGTCCTCCACATGAACGAAGCAGACTCTGTGCCATAGCTTTGTCAGGTAAAGACATAAAAGCAAAATAGATACACTGCAACCCAATATTTTCCCACTGGATTCTTTGACAGTCTTTCTATTTCATGGTTTTTCTTCTTCTGCTTAATCCTGAGAAAGTATTTATACATAAAGGAGACTGGTCCTTTGTCTATGACATGATTTTTGGTTATTTCCCCTGGTTGTCATTTGTGACATGACTTTGCTTATGAAGTTTTTTTGCCATTCGGGGGGATTTGTTAAAAATATATTTTTATGTAGTCAAATGATCATTCTTTCTATTATGGCTTCTGGGTTTTGAGTCATAGATGGAAAGGTTGTAAGCACGTTTACCCATGTTTATTTTTGGACTTGTATAGCTTTGTTTTTTATATTTAAATTACTGATATATTGGAGTTTATGCTGGTATTTGGCAAAAGGTATGAATTCAACTTAGTCTTCTTTGTAATGGAGCTCAGTTGTCCTGGGAAATGCTTTCTGATAAAGATCTGCTTAGACAGCCTCCTGGAATGTGGATTCTGGAGGAAGAAACCTGAGTTATACTGGGGAAGAGAGAGAAATGGGAAGAGTATGGATAATAAACAGAAGATCGCCAGACTGGGTGCTGGGTAAGAAAAGAAGGGTAACTCTCTAGGTAACTTTGTGGGTACCAAAAGGGCAAGGAACTCTTCAGTCCCAGAAAACAAGCTATATACACACCCTGCCAGATTGCATGCCCCTCTAAAGCACCTTACAACACTAGACAATCTCTGTAATCAGTCTGTATTCACTGATAAGGAAATGGAGGCACTAGTTTGGACTAAGGAAATTCACTTTAGTTACCACACCTGACCAAAGGAGGTCCCCAAATATAAATAAAGATTGTTATTATTATTGTTGGCTGCTGTTGAGCTGACCCCTGATTCATGGAGACCCCATGTGTTACAGAATAGAACTGCTCCATAGGGTTTTCTTGGCTATAGCCTTTATGGAAGCAGTTCGTAGGGCCTACCTTCCTTGAAGCCACTGGGTGGGTTTGAACTGCCAACCTTTCTGTTAGCAGCCAAGTGCTTAATTGTTTCTGCCACCCAGGCTGCTTATAAATAAGGATACTGTTGTTGTTGTTAGGTAACATGGAATCAGTTTTGACTAACAGTGACCCCATGTGACAGAACAGAACTTCCCCATAGCGTTTTCTTGGCTGTGATCTTTACGGAAGTAGATCGCCAGGTCTTCTCCTGCAGAGAGGCTGAGTGGATTCAAACCACCAACCTTTTGGTTAGCAGCTGAGCACTTAACAATTTGTGCCACCAGGGCTCCTACAAATAAGGATTTAAAAAAAAAAATCAGCATCAAGTCGATTCTAACTCATAGCAGCCCTATAGGACAGAGTAGAACTGCCCCATAGAGTTTCCAAGGAGCACCTGGTGGATCTGAACTGCTAACCTTTTGGTTAGTTAACCACTATGCCATAAGGACAGGCCCTCCCAAACCCTCAAACCTTTGAGGGAAACCAAGAGCATGAAAGAGAGACCCCAAACTCAAAAACTACAAGAACTAACCCAAATGAAAAAGACATTAATAAATGAATTAGGAGGAAACTTTAAATAATTCAGGAAATAGCATCAGAGAGATCCTAGGGCATATGTGTAGATAGCATTCATTTAAAAAAAAAAACTGACTGCTATAACAAATACCAGTAGTTGTTGCAAATTAAAATATGATTGCCAATATTTTTAATTGAAGTGAATGGTTTACATACCTGAATGCATAGAGATGATCATCAAATTAGTGAATTGAACAAATAAATTGAGAGTTTATTCCAGAATACAACACAAGAAGATCAGGGGATGGAAAGCATGAAAGGAAATTTAGAAGATGTGGAATGAAGATAGTGCCTTATGATAAATGAGCAACTCCCTTTCCTCTCAAGTCCTATTACGTAGGGACTAAAACACCAGCATAGGTCAATTGTCTATGTCTAGAGAAATTTCAGAAGCCAACAAAGCTTCAAGCTCTCCAAAGGCTTCCCTGTTTTTCGTGCTGGGGGATTACCCGAGGGGCTACAGGGAGGTTGTCTTTTCTGGTCTTTAGAACCTGCTTCAGAGAGCTCATAGTCCATGGCAGTCTGAGGAGACCTGACAGAAAGATGCTGGCGGAACCCATCAGCTGTGGAGGGGGCTGAGCCTACCCACTTGCCTCAGCAGCTCTTGCAGAAACTGCCCAAGATGCTGGTGCTCCTCAACAGTATGCACTTGGAAATGGCATCACTCTCAGCCCACAAAGTTGGCGGAAGATTCCCCAGAAAAGTACGGGCCCTCAGTGGAAGGGCCAAGTACTGCCAGTTTCTAGGACAAAATACCCTGTATCTTCCTCTAAGGGTGCCCACAAAGGCACAGGTATTGTTGGCAGGAAACTTTATAGCTACTTATGAAACTCAGTAACTCAAGAGAGGGAGACTACTTAGACCAAACAGGTGGTGGCTGATATTGAAGCAAGCCTGAAAGTAAGGGAGGAAAAGGGCCTTCAGTCTAAAAATGCTGCAATATCATACAACACTGGAAATAAAGAAATTATAGCTGCATGCAGCAACATGGATCAATCTTAGAAACATAATGTTGAATGAATAAAGTATGTCTGTCTTGGGGGGTGCTGGTGGCTCAGTAGTTTAGCGCTCGGTTGCTAACAGAAAGGTGGGCAGTTAGGACTCACCAGCCTCTCTGCAGAAGAAAGATGTAGCAGTCTGCTTCTGTAAAGATTATAGCCTTGGAAACCCTGTGGGGCAGTTCTCTGTCCTATAAAGTCGTTACGAGTCAGCAACAAGGGTGAGTGGAGGGAATTACCTTGTTTCAATGATAGCCCCAGGTACAGTACCAGGCAGGCTACCCCAGAGGTCTAGGAACAGATATGCTCTTAGGCCCAATTAATTGCAAATTGCTAGAATGTCAGTCTGTTAAATCAATTTAAAACACACAGAGAGAAGGAAATAAGAAAAATGGGTAAGTTAACACTCATTTAGGATGGGGTTCAAGCAGGTGGAAGTATCACAGTAACTGAATTAAGTGTATACAATATTCAAACAGACTTCCCACAGACGGTATGGTTATAAGGGCCAGAGTTGGGGTTCAAACAAGAGTCCACAGATGGAAGGCACTCTGCATAGGGACAAGTATGACTGACCACAGCTTAGTTTACTAAATAACTTGCTAACAGCCATGGGTTTCTTGAGCAGAGGACACATGGGGCCATTTCCATAGTGGATGGCCAAATTAAGCCCTTGGAAATACTGAGTCATCAGTGATGTGCTGGTAAGTCAACTCTCGGGTGAGGGGGAGCGGGGAAGGTAGGTAATTTGTAGTATATGTCACTTTCTGCGGTCGAAATATTCCCACCATGGTCAGCTTCAACATATCAACTTCAAATCACTGAACGTAGAGTTGAGCAGAGATGTGCACAGTCAACTTTCACTAGCTGGTTCTAGCACTCTGCTGATTGAGTGCCTCATATGCCTCAAGAATGTTCAATGTCTCATGTTTATAATTATTGCCTAATTAATATGAAGTAGCTCTTGGGCCTTCCATTTTTCTGTCTATATTCAAAGACCCATGCTATCCTTACTAACTTTCTTAACACAGTTTATGAATTATGTCCACATCTCACAAGCTACTGACTTGATCATTATCCATACCTAACATATCTTGTGAGATTTGCCTAGGTAATACAAGCTACAAATTTATTCTTCTTCTACAGTAGAATTAAGGTCCCATAAAGCTATAGAAATTAAACAGAGTGCTCTTAGCACGTTTATGAACAAATGTCCTAGCTTTCTATTTACATGTTACCCAAAAGCATTTATAAAAATGTGCGTGTATATTATGTGTGTGCAGAAAGAAAAAGGTATGCAATTATATATTGTATAATAAATTGTTACTGATGGTTAACTTTAGAGAGAAAAGCAAAAATGGATGGGGGCATGTGAGAGGAACTTTGACTCTTTGTCGTAATTTATTTTCATAAGCATATATGACCTGTGTAATTAAAAATTAAAAACAGAGGAGGTGGGGCCAAGATGGGAGAGTAGTCAAATGCTTCCAGTGGTCCCTCTTACAACAAAGGCCCAAAAAAACAAGTGAAGTGATTATATATGACAATCTAGGAACCCTGAACATCAAAGACAAAGTTGAGGAATCAGACTGAGTGACATGGGGAGGGAGAGATGATTCAGAAGCAGCAAGGACTTGCCAGACCTGATCTGCCTGCACAAGCACCCTACAGGCTGCATTGGCTGGCATGCACGGTAAGGCAGACAGTGGCACTTGGGATGCGTTTTCCACATTGGGAGAGACTGAGAAGCGGAGACTCTACTCAAGCTTCCAGAATCAGCGAGAGATGATGCTCAATAGGTGAAAGATAAGTACATGCATCTAACCTACCATGTGGCTCGATCAAAAAAAAAAAAAGAAAAAAAACCTTTTTGGGAAGTACCTGCCGCCTGCCCTCTCTGCTCCTGATCTCAGTCCAGCTTCAGAGATTGCTGCGCCCCCTAGGCCGGAAGTAGGGCCCATCATGCATCCTGAACCATTCTCCTGGCTTTAGAGAAGGAACGAATTAACAAACAGGAAAAAATAGTCTGCCAGCTCCCCTAAGCATGAAACTCATGGTAGGCACAGACCCTTTGTCTAGACACAGGCATAAAGGGTCCACAGACTTTGAATGCCTTTCACCCCTGCATAGACTTGTGTGGGCCCTTTCCAATGTAGGCCCTCATTAGCATGGTACAACAGGATATACAGCTGAAGCCTATTTTCAAATGTATCAGCTATAAGGGGGAGTGGCAGATTCGTGACATTTGACACTGCCTTGCCCATTAAGCAGGGTCCTCACCTACCCACATCAGAAGCCTGAGGATTGGTGGTTCCACCAACATCACCTAGCCACCTGCAACAGAGGTCCAAGAATAAGTGCTGCCTCCCAGTCCTTACAGCCAACAGCTCTGAGAGCCCATAATCCGCTGCAAAACACACCCACCT